TTTTTAATATTCCTCAAAATATTTCATTCTTCTGGGGGGGGGGGGGTTAGCTTCCCGCAACAGAATAAAACACATTTGTATCCCAATTTTTAAAATATCATTTATATTTAAGAGTTAGAAATGGTTCATAACCCTTATTGGCCTTCTTAATAACTTCTTAATAAAAATTATAATTTCTAAATTACAAAAATTCAAATCTTTGATTACAATGAAATGTACATCCAAATTGTAATATATGCTGCCAACTCAGCTATTCATTTTCTGCATTCCTTGAGCACCAGAAGCAGACCACTCAAAGGAAAAGTCTAGTCTGTTAGTAAAATGACTAATAGCAATTTTGAATCATTGAGTCATATTGGGATGATTGGGAATTACAGGAATTAAACCTACATATCTCACCTCTGCAGTTGTGCTGGTTTGGGATAGTGAGAATTGGGAGTTATTGTCTGACACATCTAGAAGGATCTGATTGGGGAAAAACTGATTTAAACACTATTTTTAAAGATTTTAAACTAGCTCTATAGGATCCTTGAAAATCTGAGTTGTTTCTATGACCTTGGTACACATCCTTAATTGGCTCCGGGAGGCTCAAAGAGTACCAAAAATTATGAGAACCAAACAAATTTTCCTCATAATAATGTAGTGTAGTCCTCATAATAATATAGTGAGTCACAAGACAGCTGATACTGACAAATTGTAGCTTGTGCGTTGAGTACCAAACGAACAATGAGTACCAGGACAATGCGTCAAAATGTGTTGAGTACCAAATTCGATGAGCTTCAAAGCAGTTGAGTACCAAGGTACCACTGTATACCATATAAATTACATTTATTAAGGTAGAACATTTTAGATTGTGCATAGAAAGGTCCATGCCTTTTCTATAAATTGGAGAAGAGAGGGCAGTCATGCAGTCTTGAAACAAGTTGCAGCTGTTTTAAAAACAATTTCACACTCATACATGCTCCAAACCACCTTCTCAGAATAGAATTCAAAAGACCGCATAGCCATAATAGATAGGGAAAATAAAATGATGAAATAAATTTCAGTGTGGATAGTTCTGAGGACAACTCCTGGAATTGTTTACTTCGAACTATTTTAAAAATAAGATTCCATATGGTCACACATTAGATCAACCTACAAACATTTATGCAGTTAAATATTCTGAACGGCTAATCTTGGGACATGTTAATCGCTTACCATTAAGAGGGTATTTGTTGTTACAAAGTTTTTAAAAACCTAATCTTGGTTATGTTGTTTTATTCAGATGACATCACTAACTGTAATGTTGGAATCAATAACACATTCAATTCAAGAGACGTAAATATCAGTTTGAATTGCCCATGTATACAGTTCCATCTTATTGTGGTTTCTATTTCCATTCACTGTCTGGAAAAACTAGAACGTTGAATGTTGACTCACTGCAGGGAAACATATGGCAACCTAGTAAACCTTTCCTGATCTCTTTCTGCCAAATCTAGTAAGGTTGCCAGCTGTCATTATGATTACTGCTTTAAAATGTGCTGAATCTTTCTAGGCAGGAAATCATCCTTGCCTAAGAAGAATACATTATTTTAAATAAAGCAGCCAGAGAGAAGAAATCATGGTGCTTTTATTTTATTTATTTGATTTACATGCCAATCACACTGTCGAGCAACTCTAGGCAGTTTACAATGTCACGAAATAATGAGAATATTAAAAAAAAAAAGCATTAAAAGTGAAAGCTTTCCCTGCCTTATACTTATTTACTTGAGTTCATATCAGGGATCAGTCAGATCCACACCTGGTCTTTCTCTTCTGGTGCCCCAGGCATTGTTTCTGATACTTTACTTCCGAGGATTTGCAGGAAAGTAATGTACACCCTGAGACTGTCACATTGAAAGACAATCGGCAACCTGTCAAAATATTGAAAAACAGCCTAAGCAACATCTGAAGGTGCTTCGGATCCATCAGGTGCCTCATGGGTGCTGCCCCATTTGGGGGGGGGGGTTCCTAAGTAGCAGTTAATTTTGCTTAGACCAGAAGTGACCTGACCATGCGTGACAGGGGATTCAGTACGATGTTCCTTGTGACAAATGTGAGTGTTAATATACAACCACCTTCATGTGTCAGACCAGAGTTTCTAGCAGCTGTAAAATGATTGGTCGGGCTCGGTTAATGCTTCCATTAAACCTCTGAAGTTGATTACTGTCTCCAAAATGTGGTAGCTCAGGTGTAATCTGGAAGCCAAAAACCAATGTAATTTCGTATCAGTTGAGTTAAATTCCTTGCTCTGCATCCTGCTAGAAATGTGATATTTGTACTGCATTAGTTTGTGACTCGCCAAACTAATAGCAGCTCATCAATCAATGCTTCTAGGTGTAGGTATTTATTTAGCATATGGCATACAATGTCAGGGAAATCTACACATGCTGGACACAATTCAGTCTTGACAACCTAAATTGCTAGTTCATTCTGTTCGGCACTTCCGTGCCTATCCTTGGTGTACCACAGGGGGCGAACTAGCTTACACCAGCAAACTAGTGGCATTCAGGTTGCTGACTCTTCCAGGTTCCCCCACCGGTCTCTTTTTGCTTCACCTTGTGTCATGATGGCTCATGTCCAACCAGGTCAAGTGCTGGTTTCTGCACTCTGCGCACACAAACACAGGTTTTTCCCACTGAAGTGGTACCCATTTATCTACTTGCAGTATCACATGCTTTTGAATTGCTGGGGTGGGCAGGAGCCAGGGAGCATGCAGTGGGAGCTTGGCTCATCTCGCAGAGCCGGTCTCGAACAGCTGGAGTGCAGACCATTAAGCTGCTGTGCCACCGCATCCCCTAGGTCAGGGGTGTCAAACTCGATTTCATGGAGGGCCGCATCAGGGTTGTGTTTGACCTGGGGGGGGCAGAGTGGGTGTGGCCAGGGTGGGCCTGGCCAGCTCAATGTCACTCGTGTCAGGGGCGCCTGTGGTGGCCCGAGCACTCTGCCAGTGAAAACAGGCTCCCAAGCTCCATTTTCAGCTGCAACAGCCTCCTGCAACCCTCTGCCAGTCAAAATGGAGCTCAGGAGAGCTGCGTGCAGCCCTCGCAAGCTCTGTTTTCGCTAGCAGAAGCACCACGGGCCAGTACTTCACTGTTTCCAGGGCGACCCTGTGGGCCAGATTGAAGCACCCGCAGGCCAGATCTGGCCCCCAGGCCTTGATTTTGACACTCCTGCCCTAGGTGTAGATTAAATATGTACACGTAGATTAGGCTCTGGATAACATTAGAAAGATAGCTTTGCATGCTGTTCAACTAATCCCCTACCGAGTCTTGGCCTAATATTTCAGAGCTAACTTTTAAACTAAGTTGTTGCAATAATTCTTTTTTTTTTTGTACTAAATGCAGTATACAAAGCTTACATTTTTAGAGCGACATTCCCTATGAAATAAATATACAGCAGTGATTTCTGCCTGGAGTTAACTGTTCAGTTTTTCCAGGCAGAATTTCCAGAAAGGTTTTTTTTCCCTTCTCTAAATATAGCTGACCAGAAGTGACTCAGACATTGAACAGAGACTGCTTGTAGTACGACGCTCTGGATTTCAAATGAGTGACAACAACAGGTGGTCAACAACTGTTGTGAAGGAAAAGTGACTGACACTTGTTAATTCCAGCTGTATCTGTGGCATCCAATATTTTGACAATCTTAAACGAACTGAACCCTATTGGTTGTTTATGAGAGTGGACACTAGTGGACGTGTCATAGCAGGCAGTGTTCCAGAATTAGCTTTGGACAGGACATCAAGAATGATTCATTCACAAACTGGGCAGTTTAGAACAGGACATATTTCTTTGCCCAGAACATAGCTGGCAACCCAAATATACTTCATTGTACAACATTATTATGGATGTTTCACCATGACCATAGTCAAAAGTCCAGTGGTCTGTTCTTCCGTGTTGTCTTGTAAGAGTTGCCTTTGGTTTATTATCCTTCTTTGACTAAACAAAGATAGATCATGATATTATTTTCCAAAACTTTTCCAATAATTTACCTACGATCAGTGGTCAAACTATAGTTTCCTTTGATGCAGATAAGGAAGATGACATTTGTGGATCTAATGCAGCCTTCCCCAATTAAATGTCTGCCATACTGTCTAGGGATGATGTGACTGGTCATTTGGCATTTCTGAAGGATGTTTTAGAGAAAATTGAATAAATACTTTAATTAGATACACACACAGAGAGAGAGCAAGAGAGAGCATTGTATAAATGAAGACAACAGTTCAAGAGTCTTGGTGTATATATTTTTCATTGTTAATCATTCACTAACTATACTTCTCTGCCATTTGGAGTTTAAATACCAGTAGTTACTTCCTGAGCTATGTTAGGTTTTTAGGATACAAATAACTTTGAAACCATCTTATTTATTTGAATTGTAATGCGGTGTTTGTATTCTGCTGTTCGATTTAATTATAAATATTTTTCAAACGTGTATTCCATCTGATTCCCAGTGACTTTGGTCTGCATTAACAGAAGGATTAGGTTGCATTAACAGAGGGATAGAATCAAGATCACGTGAAGTGTTAATACCACTTTATAAAGCCATGGGAAGACCACACTTGGAATACTGCATCCAGTTTTAGTCGCCACGATGTAAAAAAGATGTTGAGACTCTAGAAAGAGTGCAGAGAAGAGCAACAAAGATGATTAGGGGACTAGAGACTAAAACTTATAAAGAACGGTTGCTGGAATTGGGTATGTCTGTTTAATGAAAAGAAGGACTTGGGGTGACTTGAGAGCAGTGTTCCAATATGTCCGGGGCTGCCATAAAGAAGAGGGAGTTAAGCTATTCTCCAAAGCACCTGAGGGCAGGACAAGAAGCAATGGGTGGAAACTAAACCCCCAGGAGGCCATACAGCTCAGAGACAGAGAGTCTGAAGCCAAGAGGCTCAATGGTTCTACTTGGGTATGAAGAAGCTGGCTTGTCCTGTTGTGCCATTCTCACTTGTTCTGCCCTGTTCACCATTGTCCATATCTTTGCAGGTTTCTGAATCCCCTGAATATGCTGCTTGGCATCCTTGTGGTGATCCTGGTCTTCACAGCATTCGTGTTTGCATCCCACAAAAAAGACTTCATTTGCAAGTTTAAGAAGCACTACCCTGCTGCCTTTGTCATAGCAATTATGTTACTGAGCTACATCCTGATATCCTTTTTCGGAGGCGTCATGGTGTTTCTGTTTGGAATCACGTTTCCTTTGTTCTGTGAGTTTTTCTTATATTGTCCATAGCCAAGCATAAAACTGAATGTCAGTTCCTTCTGCAGCTGCTTTCATTTCTCTCCATAAAACGTTAGGTGTCAAGAAACATTTCTCATTAACTGCAAATAGACAGAGACATCAGTAGATGCTTTTACTGGTGATATTCAGGTGCAGGGATTTTTATTTACAGTCTAGATGGCAGGGTAACAGTTTTAACTGTGAAGCCTCCAGCCACGTTTAGCAGTATTTTCTTTTGTTTGCCCCCAAGAGTTTTGGGGCTAGATTGGTGGCTGTATGAATTGGATTAATAAATACATAAATACCTGGCTGGCTGTTCATTTAGATCAGAGGTCTTCAAACTTGGCAGCTTTAAGACTTGTGGACTTCAACTCCCAGAATTCTCCAGTCAGCTATGCTGGCTGGAGAATTCTGGGAGTTGAAGTCCACAAGTCTTAAAGCTGCCAAGTTTGGGGACCCCTGATTTAGATGAACTAATATTACATTAATTGGACTGGGCTAGATTGCAGAACTCCATCACCAGCGGAACAAAAAATCAATAATCTCTTCATTCAGAATCAAGGATCTGAAAAATATAAATGTTACGTTTTGCGTACGCATGATAAGATTTTGTTTCCAAGTGGATTTTGTTTTTCTCAGTGGCTAGGTTAGCCAAAACTGTTGCTAATAGGAGTCTTAGAAAGGATTTACTTACAATTCATAATTTCAACTTGAACAAGAAGCTATTCTGTTACTGTTAACCCAGGATAAAAAGTCTCTCACAAGCATATAATTTATTCCTTATTTGAGTACATTGAATGATGTGGTTGACATATGTTAAGCTATGATATTGAATAAATGCAATGTTAATATGCAATAAACCACAGTTGGTTTGGTTCACTCAATGCACTGAGCCAGTGTTTTTCAACCGTGGCGGTTTGAAGATATGTGGACTTCAACTCCAAGTTCAGGAGTTTTGAAGTCCAATGTCTTCAAGTCATCAAGGCTGAAAACACCGCACTAAACCATAAACTTTAGTTCACAAGTTTCAGTGGCTGGGTTCATACAATCCGTTAAGAATGCCAAACCAAACCAAACATTTTAGGATTTAGCATGCTATATGACAATTCTGTCATATAGCATGCTAAGAACACGGTGACTCAGTGGCTAACCGTGAGATTGTTGATCGAAAAGTCGGCAGTTCAGTGGTTCAAATCCCTAGTGCCGTGTAACAGGGTGAGGTCCCGTTACTTGTCCCAGCTTCTGCAGTTCGAAAGCATGTAAAAAATGCAAGGAGAAAAATAGGGACCACCTTTGGTGGGAAGGTAACAGCGTTCTGTGCGCCTTTGGCATTTAGTCATGCCAGCCACATGACCACGTAGATGTCTTTGGACAGCGCTGGCTCTTCGGCTTTGAAACGGAGATGAGCACTGCCCTTAGAGTCGGGAACGACTAGCACATATGTGCGAGGGAAACCTTTACCTTTATGACAATTCTGAAATTCAATAAAAAAAAATGACTGGGTTCACAGATCATACACAAAATGCGGCTCATGGTATTTGTTTTTTTTTACTTGATATATGAATGCATCTTATAGCTTATCAATCAAGATTTATAGCTTAGACTATTGTGGTTTAGTTGACCAATTATGATTTTTTTTTAAAAAAAACTGACTATTGCTTTAACACAGTATGTCAATTGAGCAGTTATGTTGGTTGCCACTGTAACAGTGTCAAGTCTTTTTCGCCAGTTATCTAAGTGAAGAATACCTGTGGTTTACTCTTGCTTTCCTTTCCCTAGTGATGTTTCTTCATGCATCCTTGAGGCTTCGAAATATAAAGAACAAGATGGAGAACAAGATAGAAAGCATTGGTTTAAAGAAGACTCCCATGGGAATTATCCTGGATCTTCTCGAACAACAGGAGGAGACCATTTCCAAACTAGCCGATTACCTGGCTAAAGCAAAGGATTAATTAAACAGCCAGTTTATATTGGGGAATTTGTTCATTTTGTCCAACATCATTTCTCAGTCTGTGAGCGGGAAGTCAATGCAGACTGCAAGAGTTGAAGTATGGCAAAATAAAACACCCCAAGTGGTCCAAGTTTCCTCTGCACAGGGTGGTAGTATCCCGTTTATAACCTGTCAAAAGTGTCTGAGGTACAAATGCATTGGGTAATTTACAGCAGGGGTCTCCAATCTTGGCAACTTTAAGCCTGGTGGACTTCAACTCCCAGAATTCCCCAGTCAGCTTTGGGAATTCTGGGAGTTGAAGTCCGCCAGACTTAAAGTTGCCAAGGTTGGAGAACCCTGATTTATGGCACTCACTAATGTAGAAAGGTAGACTTAACTTCTTTCAGACTCTTTTATCTCTATGTTAAGTATTTTCCAAACTGCCTATTTTGTGGCCATTCTAAATGCACAGTATTCTTTTGACCTTCAAGCAACATGACTGTGTGCTACTGCACATATCCAAACGACTGTTTTTGAGTGCAAAAATAAATCTTAATTTATGTACATCCTTTTGAGTGGGACGTGGTTTCCCTATGGAGAAATAGAGACCTGCAATTAGAAGTATGATATGCCCATTTTGTTGTGGGATATTTGAATCCGTCTCCCATCTAGCAGCTGAATCCTTCCCCACCCCCCCTGCATGAGTTGCAAGCTTGCACAGATAACACCTAGCCAATAACATTCCTTCTTTGTTCTTTCTGTATGCATATGAAGAATTGTACTGTTAGGGGCAGATTTTGTAACAGGAGGAACATGACTTTCTGTGCATGCCCACGCACAGGTATTATACATGCTTTAGTAATAATATTTAGTAATTGTCAGGCTTGAGATCTGCCATTACATAGAATTATGAATCTCCTTGAGTGTATGACTGGAAAACCAAATCTTATTGTTTGTTAATATCTCATACTGACACTTGATTTAAATTTTGTGCAAGAAAAATAAATAATATTTAAAATACCACAAACTTCTTCCTTTCCTTTTTCTGTTCCACTTACATGCAACATTATTTATGCTGCAAATAGCAAGTTAGAAAAGAAACTCATCCAATTCTTTCTTTGTGAGACTGATATTACCATATTTTTCGGAGTATAAGACGCACCGGAGTATAAGACGTACCTTTTAGGGGGGGAAAAGGTTCATCTTATACTCTGAAAAATACGGTAACTAATGTTAGTTCTGTAACTCCCTATCCCTAGCTCTTCCTTCTGGAACTGGAACTAAAATAGTAACATTTTTTGGGACTGAAAGTTACTTGTAAAATGCAACCAATTATTTGTTGGAGAATATGTGTGTGTTTTCCAGCATAAAAAAAATGTAGGTCCAGTGACCTACATTTGATTTGCTTGTTGTATTACAATGCATTGGTTCTTCCAATGCATTGGTTTAGTTTAGTTTTCAGCTTTGTCATTTTAATTAAATTACGAAATAGTAAAGTTGTATTTAGTATGTAGAAATGCCACTATAATTTTGAACAATGTTCCCTTCATGTCCTTATTTAAATAGATTTGTCTCTGAAATACAACATTCCAATAAATAGGCACCCCATTTGGTTGACATTTGCTATTGGTACAATTACTTGTATCAGTTTAAGGTAGAGGAGGTCCTTTCAGGCTTTTGTATTACTATTCTATATAAAGTTATAAAGCTACAAAGCTATTCTTATGGAATTGTTATCATAGCAAAATTCCAAAGAAGAGAACCTCCATATTTGGTCTTGGAATAAATTGTACATGTGCTAAAACCAAGTGAAAAGGAGAAGAATAGCAAATAGGTAGCTATTTTAGAGGGGACGTGATGGCTCAGTGGCTAAGACGCTGAACTTGTTGATCAGAAAGGTCGGCAGTTCGACAGTTCGAATCCCTAGTGCCGCATAACGGAGTTAGCTCCCTTTACTTGTCCCAGCTTCTGCCAACCTAGCAGTTCGAAAGCACATAAAAATGCAAGCAGAAAAATAGGGACCACCTTTGGTGGGAAGGTAACAGCGTTCCGTGTGCCTTCGGTGTTTAGTCATGCTGGCCGCATGACCACGGAGTTGTCTTCAGACAGCGTTGGCTCTTCGGCTTAGAAACGGAGATGAGCACCGCCTCCTAGAATTGGGAAAGACTAGCACGTATGTGCGATGGGAGACTTGTGGGAAAAGTTGTTACTGTAGCTTCACTTTCGGATTTTTTGCTAGCATTTCTTAGTGACTCAATAAAGTAACCTCAGATTGTTTCGGTTTTAGTTTTTGTAGCAAATTAAATGGTTGTTTCACCAGTGCTTCATCTGCCTTCAGGGAGAAGCTAATATGTTGGGCTACGAGAACTAGACAACGAAAATTTGGATAACCAGTTGATGGCATCGAGAATCTCAGAAAACTCTGCCATCTAGTGATTATATGTATTTTTGCAGCACAGATCTGGTAGCCCAAATATTGTACCTAATGTAGATAAAAGGCATATTTAAAAACATGTAATAATAAAGTAGTGCATGGAAAGGATTATTGCCTTATGACAAGGAGGACTATAACAATACATGGTAACTGTGATTGCTTGATAGTGCCGACTTTATTCTTGAAGTTTCTTATCGTGCCTATCTGTTCTCTTAGGAGATGTGATTAACCACAGATGTATCATGCAATGATAGGCATTCAGAAACAGAAGGTGATGGCTGACATCTTTTGATGGGGCAATTTTGAATCATGCAAACCAGGCAGGGGTGAAATCCAGCAGGTTCTGACAGGTTCTGGAGAACCGGTAGCAGAAATTTTGAGCAGTTTGGAGAACCGGTAGCGGAAATTTTGAGTAATTTGAAGAACCAGCAAATACCACCTCTGGCTGGCCCCAGAGTGGGGTGAGAATGGAGATTTTGCAATATCCTTCCCCCAGGAGTGGGGAGGGAATGGGGATTGTGCAGTATCCTTCCCCTGCCACGCCCACCAAGCCACACCACGCCCACCAAGCCACGCCCAAAGAACCGGTAGTAAAAAAATTTGGATTTCACCACTGAAACCAGGGTATTCCCTCTGACACTCTTATGGAAGTGAAAGTTGAACAGGATAGGAAAAGTATTGATGCTTTTTGAACTTTGATGTTTTAAAGAACTCCTGAGGATATCACAGACAGCCAAGAAAACAAACCGATGGATTGTTGAACAAATTAATCCAGAGTTCTCAATTGAGGCACAAATGACCAGGCTTCAATTATCCTACTTCTGTTATACCATGCAGAGAGCTCTCTAGAAAAAGGTCTAATCCTGGCAAAGGTGAAAGGAAGGAGAAGAAGAGGACAACCTGCAGCAGGGTGGAGAGGCTCTTTTACAATAGCGGAATGCAGTGTTGGAAGAGTTGAAGGAACTGGTGAGGGGCAGACTCTCAAGGAGAAAACTATGTGGTCACTAAGAGTTGACAACAACTTGATGACATGTAAACCACCTAATCAAGAAGTATGAAAACACTAAACTCTATTTGAAATAATAAAAAAAAAATACTTGTAGCTCAGGTTTTAGATTTTAGAATAGAATAGAATAACAGAGTTGGAAGGGACCTTAGATCAGTGGTGGGTTGCTCCCGGTTCGGTCCAGTTCTTGCAAACCGGTAGTAAAAACAGTGGGAGGCTCCGCCCACTCACCCGGATATCATCATGGATGATCTGCGCATGCACAGAACCCACCCCTGCCTTAGAGGTCATCTAGTCCAACCCCCTGCTTAGGCAGGAAACCCTATACCATTTCAGACATGGTTATCCAATCTCGTTTTAAAAACTTCCAGTGTTGGAACTTCTGGAGGCAAGTTGTTCCACTGATTAATTGTTCTAACTGTCAGGAAATTTCTCCTTAGTTCTAGGTTGCTTTCTCCTTGATTAGTTTCCATCCATTGCTTCCTGTCCTGCCCTCAGGTGCTTTGGAGAATAGCTTGACTCCCTCTTCTTTGTGGCAGCCCCTGAGATATTGGAACACTGCTATCATGTTAACCCAAGTCCTTCTTTTCATCAGACTAGACATATCCAAATTTTGGCAGTGGTTTGCCCTCCAAGCTTGTTTCAATTTAGTTTTTGAACATTTCTGAACAACCAATCAAACGACCAACTGACCACACTGGCTCATAAAATATAAGTTAAGGAGAATAATGTCGACCCTGAAGATGACGCATGTTACTTGGAGGCTTGACAAATAGGACAAAAGAATCCTGATGATGTTACCTAGTCTGGTAACGAAACGTTTATGTTCAGAATCCAGGCACTTGGCAACTGACTCATGACAGTTGCATTGTCCCTGGGACATTATCCCTTTTGTGACCTTCTGACAAGCAAAGTCAATGAGGAAGTCAGATTCACCTAACACCAGTGTTACTAACTTAACAACTGCAACGATCCATTTAAAAACTGGCAAGAAAGCTCACAAAATGGGACAAAATTCACTTAATAACTGTCTCGCTTGGCAACAGAAATTTTGGGCTCGATTGTGATTGTAAGTCGATTGTAAGTTACCTGTAATTTAGCGGTTATCCAGATTTTTGCTCTACCTCCTATTTGTAACTTTTATTGAAACTCTTCACAGGTGATTATACCTGCTTGATGTGCTTGTTTGCCTCTAGCCTGTGGGCAGGGTCACAAACAAAAGCAAGCTCCTTACATTATTGTTGTGGTGGTGCCTGAAATGGAACTGAGGTGAGATTGGGAATCAAATCCAGGAGCCATATGCTGAAGGGGTGTTGTCAAAAATCTCCCTGAGTGTTGGAAAAGACTGCCCAGTTCTATCACCCACAAAAAACTGTAGGACTCCAAAGATCACCTAGACCTAAGACAGGAGACTTTATTCCATCCCAGACAAATGGCTGTCCAATCTTTTCTTTAAAATCTCCAAGAATGGAGCACTCACAATTCTGGGATGCAAGCTGTTCCATTGGTTAATTGTTCTCACTTCAGGAAATTTTTCCTTATATATCCAGGTTGGGTATCTCTTTAATGAGTTTCTTCTCATTGCTGCTTGTCCTGCCCTCAGGTGCTTTGAAGAATAGGTTGATCTCATTTTTGTGACCGCCCTCAAGTACTGGAAGACAGCTATCATATCACCCATAATCCTTCTCTTTGTTAGGCGAGATATATCTTATTCCCTTAACTATTTATCATATGGTTTAGCTTCCAGACTTCTTACCATCTTGCTCTTTTCTGCACTCTTTCTAGGGTCTCAGCATCTTTTTTTGTATCATGGTGACCATTAATGGATGCAGTACAGAGGTGGGTTTCAGCAGGTTCTGACAATTTCTGGAGAACCGGTAGCGGAAATTTTGAGTAGTTCAGAGAACCGGTAGTAAAAATTCTGACTGGCCCCGCCCCCATCTATTCTCTGCCTCCCACGTCCCAGCTGATTGGGAGGAAATGGGGATTTTGCAGTAACCTTCCCCTGGAGTGGGTGGGAATGGAGATTTTACAGTATCCTTCCCCTGCCATGCCCACCAAGCCACACCCACAGAACCGGTAGCATACTACTGGCTCATATTTAAGTGGTGGTCCACTAAGACCCACAGATCTTTTTCACAATTACTACTGTAGACCTGGGTTATTATCATAGGTACTACTGTTGACCCAAAGACGTGATATGCAGAAATCTTAAAAAGGAACACTTATTTTGAGAAGAGAAACCCCTATTCTATATAGTATGCACTATTTATACAATCTCCATAGCAGTTACCTCAAGCTAAAGACAGATATATTCATCTGAAAGTTGGTGTTTATTTCTCTTGTAACATCCTTCATTTAACAAAAATAAAATTAGTTGTGATTAACAAAAAGATAAGGTTTTAAAACTGGCAGGTATGCCCAGTGATGGGATTCAGCCAGTTCACACCTATTCGGGAGAACCGGTTGTTAACTTTCTAAGCAGTTCGGACAATTCGGAGATTTCTTCTTGTTGGAAGAAATCTTATTTTGTTTTTTTCCACTTTACAGGGCTAATCTTGTAAGGAAGGCAGGAAGGAAACATTCTGGTGTTGTTTCTAGCCTAATCTTTATTGCCCTGCTTACAGAAACTGCCTCTCTGGTTAACCCCGTATTACATTGTAATAGCTAAGGCGAAGCGCCCATCGACGTGAGTGACATTGAGTTGGCCACGCTCACACAGTCACATGACCACCGAGCCACGCCAACCCAGCTGGTCATTAGGGCAGAGAACCGATTGTTAAATTATTTGAATCCCACCACTGAGTATGCCCCACAACTACAAGTGAGTGGAAGAATGAAACAATAATACCACAACAGGATGCGCAATGTGCTTCTGTAAAACGTAGGAGAGAAGATCATATGGAGACAGTACATTTTCCTGAAGAACTGATGACAGGGATGGCACAATGATTAAACGAGACAGGTGAAGTAGCCCTTTCCATTTCTGCCTCTCCCCAAAATAAAAATACATCTGGTTGCTTGAGATCGTAAGTCAGCAATCATCACTTCAACAGACCACATGCTTTAAACATTGTTCCCATGTCTTCATGACACCCAGCTGAAGGAATCAATTCCTGAAACCTTCTGAAGCAACACTTGAATAGTCTGGTGCTTTTTCTAGATTTTTCCTTCAGCAGAACAGGGTGCTTTATTCCAGCTCTTTGGGAACAGGTACCTGTGTGGGAATTGTAATAAAATGTATGAATTGGAGAAGGAAATGGCCAGAGAGAAAGAGAGAAAGCTTTTAAATTATATAAACAGCATAAATGTTGTAAAAGACACAGTAAAATTGAAAACAATTTCTTGACATACTTTCTGGCAAAACATCAAAGCAGCTCTTATGCAACAAAACATACTGTGAAGCTAAAGTATTTTTCTTGGAAAGTAACTCGGTTGCAGAGAAATGCTATTCAACAACCCAAGATTTTGCTGTTCCAAAAGTAAAACATTTCTGCGGTATCCCACACCAAATTGTGTTTCCACCGTACAACAAAGTGTTGTATTTATTAAGTTATTATGTATTTGTATTTATTATGTTAAAATGCTTTAACATAATAAATCAGGGACACAAGAGTTTGGGAACAGTTTTATCACATTTTATGTATCTGGTAAAAATCCTTAATCTCATAATAGTTGTCATCATTTTTTTTGTGTCAGATTTAGTTCAATGCAATTTAAAATAATAATTAAGGTTTTTTAAAAATCTGACAAACAAGAAAATGTTAATACTGCCTTAAGTTTTTCCCACTTGCAAGTAGAAATGTATTGTTTCTATGCATATTTAGAATAAGTTGTAAATTTAAAGATAAATTTTAAAAATTCCTCCCAGATAATATACTAATCCCCCCATTAAACACAAAATTCAGAACTTAAACTCAGTTATACCAAAATCTGTGTAGAGTGTTTGTCTCAATGCAATTTTTATCTTATAATCATTACTAATAATTTTTATTTTCTAGGGTTGATTTGCAATTCCTGTTCATACTAGTTCTGCTTTAGGCATGAAAGCTGACTGGGTGACTTTGGGCCAGTCATTCTCAGCCGAACCCCACCACACACAGGATTGTTGATATGGGGAAAGTAGAAGAGGGAAAGAATGTTAGGTATGTTCACTGCCTTAAGTTATTTATGCAAATAATAAAGACAGAAGATAAATCAATTGATCGATCAATCACATTTGAAACTGACTAGGATTTTCCTACATTTTCTCTTTTGGAAAGACAATTTACCCATAATGCCATAGTGCAAAGAATTACCACTGGCTGTACTAGTATATACTGCTTGACTTTGACCTTGGAAACTTATATCTGCACCTCTGAGGGTGGCATAATTTACTACTGGGGAATGACTTCACTCATTAACAGGTGCAACATACTGGCCTTGCCCCATGTGAGAGCTTCTGAGGCATCCCAATCAATCTAAAGAGAGACATTGAATCCAGAGCTGGTTCAATATGAAACCCAGCCTGCTGTGTAAATGAGAAGGGGGGTGTCAGGTGTGCTTCCTTCAAAGTCCAGGAAAGAATAAGCCAAACTCCATTATTTATAGAGAAATGTACTTTTACTAGAAAATGAAGTGAACGCAACCCAGGGAAAGCTGAAACTAAGCAAGAGGCACGAAAATTGCATCTAGAAAGCATCCCCCTCCCACTGTCCATCGTCAATCATCCAATCCAAAGGTCTCCCAGAGTCAGGTGGAAGGACGTCTGGCATTGTCATCCATCAGGAACGCAATGACGGTTGGTCTGATAGCCCCTTCAGAGATTCGGTTTCGTTTCTTTGAAAACTCCTCCCGCACGCTTCCCTCCCATGCCCCCTAGTTCTCCCCCTCCCGTTTCTTATGGCAGCCAAAGCAGTAAAGGCGGAGGCTGACATTCGGCCCCTCTGCAGAAAAGACGTTAGTCCTAAATAGGAAAAAGAAAAGGGAAAAGGGAAGACAAAATACAATACAGAAATTAAGGTTTATCAGGATATTTGGTATGAAACAGCTGTACTTTCTTTGGGGCCCGGACATCACATTTATTCACCCACTCAGCTTGAGACAAAGGAAAATGTTTCCAGGCTACCAGATATTGCACTTTACCGTGGTGCTTCCTAGAGTCTAAAATTTCTTTAACTTCAAAATGTTGCTCCCCTTCTATCAGTATGGGGACTGGAGGGGAGTCTTGACCCGGCCATAAAGGGGACGAGTGTTCTGGTTTCAACAAGCTAACATGAAACACAGGGTGGATTCATCTCAAACTTTTTGGCAACTCCAATTCAACTGTTATTGGATTAATAAGTCTAGTGACTCGGAAAGGACCCACATACTTGGGTCCAAGCTTTTTTTATTTCTGGGAGATCTGTAAGTACTTGGTGGAAAGATAAACCCTGTCCCCCACTTTATACACATGTGCCAAGGATCTTCTTTTATCAGCTTGGGTCTTATGTGCTTGGTGTGCATCATCTAAAGCTTTTCGAGTTACTGCCCAAGTGCTCCTTAGCTGTTCAATCCACTCAATCAAAGATGGGTTCTGTGGGTCATCTTGTGGTAGCTCGGGGATCGGCACAAATTCCTGACCCGATGCTACCTTAAACGGAGTGAACCCGGTGCTGCTGTTATGGAGTTATTATATGCCACCTCCGCAAATGGCAACAGGTCCACCCAATTGTCTTGCTGGTAATTTACATAACATCTCAGATACTGTTCTAATACTCCATTGGTTCTCTTACAAGCCCCATTAGTCTGGGGGTGGTGGGTGGAGCTTAGCCCCTGGGCGGAGCCTATCAACCGTAAAAATTCCTTCCAAACGTTGGAAGTAAATTGTACACCCCTGTCCGAAATTATATGTTTTGGAGCTCCATGTAGTCGGTAAATCTGACGAATAAACAATTTTGCAAGGGTTTTAGCTGAAGGAATTTTTGAACAGGGGATGAAGTGTACTTGTTTGGAAAACAACTCTGTTACTGCCCAAATGACGGTGCACCCCTCACTCTCTGATAGGTCCACAATAAAATCCATGGATATCTCTTTCCAAGGAGCATTCGGCCTTGCCACACTTTGAAGTAACCCAGGTGGCTTCCCCGGAGGTCTTTTAGCTGAGGCACACACTGGACAGCTAGCCACATATGCCTCTATGTCTTTTTTGAGTGCAGGCCACCAAAATTGTCTTTTAACGAGATGTAGAGTTTTAACAAATCCAAAGTGTCCCGCCGCCTTGGCGTCATGAGCGTATTGCAACACTGTTACTCTTAAACTGGCAGGGACATACAATTTTGCCCCAATCCAAGATATAGTCACGGAGTGTACATTCATTCGAGTGGGTTTTAAACCATTCGTCAGTTTCCAGGGCTTCTCGTAGTTTCTGAAGCAAATCGCCCGAGAGCCCTGGCTCGGCCTTTGTCTGCGCTCTGGTAGTCACTGGTGCTGCTAATTGTGTCAAAGGGATGATAGGTCGAACCACTTCCTTCTTGCTGCTGTTATATTGAAGCAATCTAGAGAGTGCATCCGCCATGAAGTTCTTTCCACCAGGAAGGTAGTGTAGAGTGAAATTGAAGCAATTGAAGTGCTGGGCCCAACGAACTTGTTTTGGTGACTGTTTACGCGGTGTTTTCAACGCTTCCAGATTTTTATGATCGAAAGGATGCTTTGCTCCTTCTAGAAATTGTCTCCACGTTAACAATGCAACTGCAAAAGCCCCCTTTTCCCATATGGCCCATCTCCTTTCAGTTTCTGATAATTTTCGGGACGTGTAAGCACAGGGTTGTAGTTCCCCTTCTGCATTCTTTTGCAAAAGTACTGCTCCCACAGCTACGTCACTCGCATCAGCCTGTACTACAAAAGGCTGTTCCATGTCTGGATGTTTGAGTACTGGTTCAGCAGCAAACAGCCGTTTCAACTTTTCAAATGCGGCTTGACAGTCCATGGTCCATTCAAGTGGTCGTGAGAGCCTTGGTTTTACTTCACCTTTAGTTTTCAGAAGATTTGTTATTGGTAATGTAATTTTGGCAAACGAGGGGATAAATTGTCTATAAAAATTTGCAAATCCCAGGAAACTCTGTAGTTGTTTGCGGGTGCGTGGCGCGGCCCATTCCAGTACCGCCCAAACTTTCCCAGGGTCCATCTCTATCCCCTCATGCGATATGCGATACCCAAGATAATCAATTTTGCTTTGGTGAAACTCACACTTAGAAAGTTTGGCATATAGTTCAGCAGCTCTGAGTTTTTTCAGGACAGTTCGCACCAATTTCACATGGTCGTCCATGTTCTCAGAGTAGATAAGAATGTCATCCAAGTAGACCAACACCCCCTTATACAGGTGCTCGTGTAACACTTCATTTATCAATTGCATGAACACAGCAGGGGCTCCTTGTAACCCAAACGGGAGCACTCTAAACTGGAAACATCCCAGTGGGCAATTAAATGCTGTCTTCCATTCATCCCTTTCTTTAATTCTCACTCAGTAGTATGCCTATCGTAAATCAAGTTTAGTGAAGACTTTTCCCTTTCCTAAGTGCGCTAACATGTCTTTCATGAGTGGCAGGGGGTAAACGTTTTCCACGCAAATAGCGTTCAAATTTCGGTAATCAACTACCAGGCGAAAGGAGCCATCTTTCTTTTCCTGGAACAATACCGGCGCCGCCACTCTGGGTCTGGCTGGTTGGATGAACCCCCGTTCTAGGTTTTTATCAATGAAGTTCTGCAATTCCCCTAATTCTCGAGGGGTCATGGGGTAGATTTTTGGCTTAGGGATCTTCACCCCAGGGAGTATTTCAATGGTACAGTCTGTAGCCCTGTGGGGAGGCAGCACATCCAAGGCCCTTTCACTAAAAACTTCACAGAGATCCCAATACTCCTTTGGAATCTTCTCCTCCCCCTCGATGTGGCCCATTGCCACTTTTGCCCTTTCGGGTTTTATACTGTCCTCCAGGGGGGGGTTTTCCCTCTCTAGTCTCGGTTTTCCAGCGCGGATGCGCAAGACCCTCGTCTTCCAGTTAACCCGTGGGTTCCATCTACGGAGCCAGGGCAGTCCAAGTATAAAGGGTTGTTCCATGCCCAGGGTCACAATAAATCTGAGATTCTCTACATGGTCTCCCAACTGCATTTCAATGGGTTTGGTCACAAAGCTGGCTGGGCCCCCTCCTGCAATTGATCCGTCCAACTGACAAAACGCAATGGGCCTTTTTAACGTTTTAAGTCTCAGGCCCATTTTCTCCACCACCTTCGGGCTGATTATGCACCTGGTGCACCCAGAGTCTAATAGGGCTAACATCTGCACCTGTGTCCCTGCAGATGGTACCCTTATTTCTATGGGGATGAGCATGGGGTCCTCTGTATGACTCACCCGATCATCGGAGTCGGAATCGGAATCCGTCCCGCTGTCGTCGTCGGTGGTCGGAGTTCCCAGCTCACCCTGGTTTCGGGGAGGGAACTCAATGACTTCTCTTTTCAGAGCAATGCCACGGGTTTTTGCAGGTATTTTGTTGGCCTTCTTGGGTCCCAATCCAGCAGCCTTTGGCACTGGTTTGGAGAAACATTTGGCAGCCCGATCTCCTTCCTTTCCACATTTGAAGCAGGTGAAGGGCTTCGATTTGGGTTTGAATTCTGCTCTCCCCTCAGCCATCTTTGGTGCTCCTGTACGGTAAAAGGAGGATGACTGGTCTCCTGCATGCCCTCCTTGGAGTCGGCTTCGGGCCAACTCGATCTCCACATCCTCAGCTACTACATACCAACTCTGCAAGTCTTCAGGGACCCCCCGGCCTCTATAGTCCTGGTATATCTCTTCATTCAGCCCATCTTTGAAGCTCTCCAGTAGAGCCACTTCTGACCACCCTGTCATGTAGGGTGCCAGCTCGCGAAATTCTTGGGTATACTCTGCCACAGATCTCCAGCCCTGCTGGATGCCCTTCATTCTGAGTCTCGCCTTCCGTTCAGCTAGGTGGTCTTCAAACCGCCTCCTAAGAGCCCCCATGAACTGGTTGTAATTCCTCAGCAAAGGGGAGTTATTATTGTGGAGGACCATCATCCAGTCAGCTGCTACTCCCTCTAAGGCGTTCGTGACGCATCTCACTCAAGCGGCATCTGATAAGTAGTCCTCCCCACAGTCCTGCATGTGGTTCCACACTTGGGTCAAAAAATACCCCAAGGTCTTCAGATTCCCATCATATTTCCCGGATAGGGGGGGAATTTTTGGTTTTTTACACCTGCGGGGGGGGGGCTGCAAGGCTGGGGGTCCCTGGCCTGCTGCATCCCTCACTTGAGCTGCAGAAGCCTGAGATGTTCTTTCCTCAGCTTCTTCTTCCTCTCCCCCACAGGCTGTCTCTTCTGGCTCCCTCCTGGGGCCATCTCCTCCCTTCTCCACAGGGAAGCCATAAGACTCACGGCTTTTCTGGCTTTCCTCGACATCACGGAGAAGTTGCAATGTTTGTGCCAACATGAGGCTTTCCTTTTGCTCTTGCAGCCACACTGCCTCTTTCTTATGGGGTCTGGAGCTGGTTACTCCCTGGGGGGTCCCCCCCTCAGTCCAGCAGTCTTCCTACTCCTTTCGACCATCTGGCTTCCTCAGGCTCCTCTCTCAGCCGGAGCTTTTCCAACCATTCAGCAGCCTCTTTTTCTGCTTGAAGAGAAGTTATCGTAGAACCCGATGCCCCATCTGGTCTTCTTCACTCTCTTGGTCTGACATAATTTGGATTTCAGTCCCCTCGGTTTTTATCCGGGATGACTGGAGTGAGTTTCAGCTTAATGTCAGGTGTGCTTCCTTCAAAGTCCAGGAAAGAATAAGCCAAACTCCATTATTTATAGAGAAATGTACTTTTACTAGAAAATGAAGTGAACGCAACCCAGGGAAAGCTGAAACTAAGCAAGAGGCGTGGAAATTGCATCTAGAAAGCATCCCCCTCCCACTGTCCATCGTCAATCATCCAATCCAAAGGTCTCCCAGAGGTCAGGTGGAAGGATGTCTGGCATTGTCATCCATCAGGAACGCAATGACGGTTGGTCTGATAGCCCCTTCAGAGATTCGGTTTCGTTTCTTTGAAAACTCCTCCCGCACGCTTCCCTCCCATGCCTCCTAGCTCTCCCCCTCCCATTTCTTATGGCAGCCAAAGCAGTAAAGGCGGAGGCTGATAGGGGGATTGTGGCAGAAAATGCAGTTCATCTCCTACAGTGCTTTCAGTAGATATGTTATTGGAGAAGCCTCGTCCCAACTTCGAAGGATTTGTAAACATTCTCAAATGCAGCAGCTAGAGAAGCAAAGATCAACCCAGTGAAGCAGCAAATTGTTAGTTTTCTTTTATCTACTTCCTTGAGGGTATGCAGGTGCATGCATGAAACAGAGAGACGTGTATGGATACAGTACTTCAAATGCTTTAAGTTGAAGCCCATATAACGCTATTAGAGATCCTTACAAAGTGTTGCAGTTTCATTTTTGGTTATCATTACATAGCAAAAGGATACCTTATGTTAGTAGTCACCATTGATGGGCATGTTCCAAGCATCTGCAACTTAGAAATGTACTAATTTGCCTCCTTGTTTCTATTGATCATTCACCCCTTGACAAGAATGCTCCTAAATTCACAGGCCAACATACAGAAAACTATTTAAGCATTATAGAATGCTTGTCTGCATGGAAATTCTTTGATTTTAGTCAAAGAAAGTCTTATTCTAGGAAAAAATATTATGAGCAGGTGGATATGAAAAGATCAATTTTGTTTTCTATAGATATTATTGTAAAATGGCTTGTATGGAGGTGTTGGCTGCTGTGGGTTCGCAGGGATTCGGGAGAACCTCTAGCTAAGATTCTGTGCAGTTCAGAGAACTCCCAAATCCACTGCTGGCTGGCCCCTCCCACCCCTCCCGTCCCCTCCCAGGAGTCCCCGTGCAGTCTGTTTTGGATGCAGGTAAGTTCAGGGTGTGCAAGGAGGCTCGGGGAGAGCGAAAAACGGGCCTACCGGAAGTTTGGGAAGGCCGGAAATGAGCCTGTTTCTGGCTTCCAGCGGGCCTCTGGAGCCTGGGGAGGTTGTTTTCACCCTCCCAGAGGCTCGAGGAAAGCCTCCGGAGCCCGGGGAGGGCAAAAATGCCCCCTTCCACTGTGGTGTAAGAGGCCAACTAGGCCATGCCCACCATGGCCAAGTCCACCCAGCAACCGGGCAGAGAACCCCTTGCTAAACTTTTTGAAGCCCTCTGGTGTCTCCCAGATTTTTTGAACTATGGTTTCCATAATTTGTTGCCTGTAACCATGTGGGTGGGAGCCGAAGTCCAAAATATCTGAAGAGCATGAAGCTGCCTATCTCCCTGCTGAAGCAAAGAGATCATATGATAACTAAAATTGAATTGTTGTGTGAAAGCTTTTAGAGGTAGTCCTTGACTTATGACTGGTCATGTAACGTCTATTCAAAGTTACCACAGACCCCTACTCCAAAAGGTACTTACAACCCAGTTCTGAAGTTCTGGTGGCCAGCCCCACTCCTGTGGTCCCGTGGTCTTGGCAAATTGGCATTTATGAACATTTACACATGATCACGTGACTGATATACGACGTTTGCCAAAACCAGACTTTTACTTCCAGGTTTTGGTGGAAAAAAAAACACAACGGGTTTGTTTAATGACCACAATATTCACTTAACAATCATTGCAAAAAAGGTAGTAAAATTGATGACCTGCTTTACGCCTATTATGACTTATGACCATAATGGGCGGGCTCCATTACAGTCATAAGCTGAGGACTACCTATAATACTAATCATATTTTATCAGCTGTTATTTCTGCCTTTTCTAAGAGCAGCAATCAAATCAACAGTTAAGAGGGACTTACTCATATTGCAACACATTGGTTCTTCCTTGAGTCACCCAATACTTACCGGCTTCAAATAAGCTACATTACTCTGGCGAATATCATTAAGTAGCTTGTCTCTTGGAGTGGTCTCAACCAAAGGAGGGGGCCGCCTTCTCGGAATAGGTTTTAGGGTCTTAATCACATCTTTGAGGTTGGTTTTTTCAGCTGGCTCTACATATTCCTGGATAGAAGGTTTGCGCTTTGTCCTCTTGAGCTTCACTGTCTTGAAAGCAGGAAGGTCACTACTGCTTTCCTTCTCAGGTTCTTCTCTTATAGCAGGTTCATTTCTTCGGCCAACAGGTGGGGTTTTGGGAACTGCTGTCATTGGAGGTTGCATTGAAAGAGGCATCATCGAAGTCGGTATCGGTCCTCCTAGCAATTCCCACATCCCAGGAGGCAACCCAAGTCCGTTCTCCAACATGGCAATGAATTCTTTCTGCTGCTTTAACTGTTGCAGTTTTTGCTCCTCCATCCTTTTCTGTCTCTGCTTATCAAGGTTTCTGCTGAGGAGATTAGTGACCACCATTCTGGGTCCTGGAAGTTCAAAGTGGTAGCCTATCTTAAGAAGCGTAGGGTTGGCTTTCAGGAGTCTGGCAATCTCCATTTCTGATTGATGACCCAACATACTTCTCTGATTGTGGAAACGTAGCTCCGTAAGCTTCTCGTTGTACTGCAGGCATCTCATGATGGCAACAATCCCTTTACCTGAGATGAAATTGGAATCGATATTCAGAGTGATAATACTCCTATTTTCACGCAGCATGTTGGCCAAAGCAAAAGCTACATTGTCATCTGCCCCAACATTGGCTAAACTGAATGTTTTGATGTGCTTGTTCTTCTTCATGGCATTGACAAAATCCACTAGCATCTCCTTGGGGATGTTCTCAATGTTGTTTAAGTTGAGTTCTGTTGTTTCTGGGTCATTTCTCCGGACTCTTTCTAGACTCCCTTCTAAATTAGTTTGATTTCCTGAAGGCCGTGCACTTAATTTAATAAAACTAGTGTCTAGAGCTAATTTTTTGGGAATATTTAATTTTGAAACTTTCTTTTCATTTTCTCCTTTTTCACCCGATTCTGTGTATGATGATCCTGTAGTTTCCTGTGTGCTCTTGCCATTCTCATTAAGTTTTTTTGTTTCCAGATCTCTCTTCTCTGATTCTTCTATTTTCTCTTCTTCTTCCTCCTCCTCTTCCTCCTCCTCTTCCTCCTCTTCCTCTTCTTCCTCCTCTTCTTCCTCTTCCTCCTCTTCCTCTTCCTGATCCATTTGTTTGTTCTTTTTGTAATCATTTATGTCTTCATTTGCAGCATTGTTGGCCATTGGCTTTTCACTGCTACTATTGGCAACATTTTCTTCAGAATATTCTCTGAAGGGTCTCTATAAAACAAAATGCTAAGAGCTGAAATAATTTTAAATCATTTTGCCACATCATTTGAACGAGACTAAGAAGGTTGATGAATTTGTTTTTCTGTTATGAAGATTTACAAGAAAGGCATCATAATATACTTACATAATCAGTATTAAGATATTTATTTATTTTTCAGATTTTTGGACTGCCCATCTCAGAATAACTGAGTTGTAATGGACCAGAGGTGTCAAACTTGCCCACCCTGGAAACAGGAAAGGACTGGCCCACGGTGCCTCTGCCAGTGAAAACGGAGCTCTGGGAGGCCGCGCACGTCCCCCTGGGCTCTGTTTTCACTGGCAGAGGGCTGCAGGAGGCCATCACGGCCAAAAATGGAGCTTCAAGTGATGTTGAGCTGGCCATGCCCACCCTGGCCATACCCCCCCAGCCCCCTCCCCCAAGATCAAACACAACTGATGTGATCCTCAATGAAACTGAGTTTGACACCCCTGTCTCAGCCCAACCCACCCATCCCCAAGCAGGAAACCCTATACCATTTTAGACAAAATCTCCCTCTGAGAGGAAATCTAGGCAGCATACAATAAAATGTTATAAAAGAACAATATCTAAAATTTAAAAATTTAGAAGGAGGCAAGGATGATTAAACTCTGTTAAAATTAGTTAAAAGATGAAGGGAAAGCTGCCACGGCATCAGCCTGCCCCACAGCTGTGTGATCCCCTAGGGCAGTGTTTCTCAACCTTGGTAACTTGAAGATGAGTGGACTTCAACTCCCAGAATCCCCCAGCCAGCACCCACATTACACCAATTCTCCGTGAGCACTGGCTCCCTATTGGTCTCCGGGCACAATTGAATTAAATTCAATTGAATTCAATTCAAAGCCCTACATGGCTCAGGGCCAGGTTATCTTCGAGACCGCCTTCTACCGCCTTCTACCACATAGCTCCCAGCGACCGGTAAGATCCCACAGAGTTGGTCTCCTCCGGGTCCCATCAGCTAAACAATGCCGGCTGACAGGCCTGCGGGGGAGGGCCTTCTCTATGGCTGCCCCAGCTCTCTGGAACCAGTTACCTCCTGAGGTCTGGACCATCCCCACCCTATTGGCCTTCCGAAAAGCGGTGAAGACCTGTCTATTCCGGCAGGCCTGGGGCCGTTGATCTCACTGTTGCGATCATGTAAGATCTAGCCATGAAAGGTATGAATGGGTTTTAATGTTTTAATGTTTAAATATTTTTATAATGGTTTTTTAAAAAATGCATTGTAAGCCTCCCTGAGTCTTCGGAGAAAGGCAGCATATAAATTGAATTAATTAAATTAATTAAATTCAGTGCCTTTATGTGTAACCTGCAGCCCTAAATTATGTCATTTCCTTAGCCAACTTTTTTCCTTTCTGGCAATAGTACATTAACAAAACCAGATTTCAGAGGCCTATGTGCTAACTTTCTTGACAACAAAATGCAGGTTTGCTATTATTGTGGGCTGCACAATTGTCCTTCCTGTATTAAAAAATGAGTAGTAACAGAGGTGGGGGGGGTTTGTACACATTAGTTTCAACCTAGTTTTTGTAAACGAGGACTGACTTAAAACTAGTAATAATCAGGCATCTAAAGAAGATTTTTTTTAAAAAAAAATAATAATGAGCTAGAGTAGTAGTTGCACCAAATAATCATTCTGGTAATTTCTGGACCAGTCTACAATACTGAATGTTCTTTAGAGCATACTTTATGGTAAACCATCGGGCCAAATAACACTTAGCAATAGTACTTAGACTTATATACCCCTTCATAGTGCTTTACAACCCTCTCTAAGTGGTTTACAATATTAGCATATTGCCCCCAACAATCTGGGTCCTCACTTTACCGACCTTGGAAAGATGGAAGACTGAGTCAACCTTGAGCCGCTCAGAATCGAACTCTTGGAATGAGCAGTGAGTTGGCCTGCAGTACTGCATTCTAACCACTGTGCAAATATGTATAGTTGGAAGTGATAGATGTTTATACTATGCGGAATAAAAACCTGAGCCTGGTTATAATCCTGCTTATATGCCTTTTCGTGCTTGCCCCCTTTTGAAATATGCATACCATTTGGAAACATCCCTGATATAATTTTTCAGTCTTGTTCTCTGCTCTTCCACCAATCTCTTTTCCTTTGCCATCTGCTCAATGGAGGGATCATCACTCAGAACCAGGGCTGGATTTTCCTATAAGCTAACTAGGCTTCAGCCTAGGGCCTCAAGATCAAGAGGGGCCTACATTCAAATTGTTAGCAAAATTAAAATTACACTTTCACTATAGGTGAAAGGGCCTCATAAGTGGAATAGCCTAGGGCCTCTTTTCATCTAAATCCGGCCCTGCTCAGAACCTCTGCACCCCCAAGCATCATTTGTTAAGACTAGTTTAGAAGAGAGAAATAATACAAAACATGACTCTCTTATTATAGAATTCGTACATTTGATTATGCTTTAATTTGAGAATTACCTCATAAGAAAAGGGAGCATCAAGTGAACTTATTCCCATCACAAAATCAAGTCTGTTCAAATATGAGAGAATGTATCTCATGTACAATTTATTCTTAATTCAAGTGCTTTTCTCAGTGGTTACATAAACTCATTTTTTTAAGCACTGTGCATAGACAGTAAGTATAGTCAAGGCTATGGTTTTCCCAGTTGCAATGTATGGCTGTGAAAGTTGGACCATAAGAAAGGCTGAGCGCCAAAGAATTGAGGCCTTTGAACTATAGTACTGGAGAAGACTCCTGCAAGTCCCTTGGACTGCAAGGCGATCAAACAGGTCAGTCCCAGAGGAGATCAACCCTGACTGCTCTTTAGAAGGCCAGATCCTGAAGATGAAACTCAAATACTTTGGCCACCTAATGAGAAGGAAGGACTCACTGGAGAAGAGCCTAATGCTGGGAAAGATTGAGGGCAAAAGAAGAACGGGACAACAGAGAATGAGGTGGCTGGATGGAGTCACTGAAGCAGTCGGCGTGAGTTTAAATGGACTTCAGAGGATGATAGAGAACAGGAAGGCCTGGAGGAACGTTGTCCATGGGGTCACAACTTCACAACTAACAACAGCAAAATAGACAGTAAATTTACTGATAAACTGATATATGCAATGCCCTTTTAGAGGCTAAATACTATTGCAGAACACACTTACTGAATACCTCTGGAATATCAGTTAATGTCTTCCAGAGAATGGCATGAGATTGGCCTCTTGGCAGTCTAGTTATTGAGTACCTCAAGAGCCTCACCGAGATGATCTTGTCTCTGATGCTATTCAAGATATGCAGGAAATTGCTTGGTATGGATTCTAGGAGTTATAAAGTGGGGTATAAAATAACAGCAGTGGGTGACAACTCCCAGCTTCATTCTTCTCTAACATCAGCATCATGGGAGGCCGCAAGCTGCCCAATCTGGTTCTGGATTGTATGAGGATCAAAAACTCACGTTGCATTATGAGAATTTGGATTCAGTGCATTCAGAAACTGAGTGAGTTCAGGAACTTCAAAAACTTCCTGCTTTATATTAACATGAGGATATTTTTCCTACGAAGAAGAGAATTTTCAGTTTGGGGTGTTGGCTTATTGTTGTTGTTGTGCTAACAGCACCTACAACCACTCTTATCAGCCAGACTCCTTCTCAGTCTGGAATTATTTGTAAATCAAGATTGGATGATGGTATTGAATTCTATGTGGGATTATCCTGAAGTACAAAAATTATTAACTATGGCAGAATTTGTTATGTGCATATTACATCTTGTTAACAACTGTGTTAAAAGTTGCCAATCTGAAGGAAAAAACATAGTCCAATTGCCTTTTGAAAAAACACCTTTGAGACAATACTTATCAAAGTAGATTTCATCAGGACCAGGTGAAAGATTCTAATTCTATGTATCTGTTTGGTAATTCTAGTATCAGCCTTTTACTGGGAATCTGTGAAATCTTTCTATATTGTACATACTATGGGTATTCATCCTTTTTCTGGCTGAGAATCACTCACTAACCTTTGATATCTGCACTGATTGCCTGCCTCCCAAAATTGATCAAGTCAAAATCAAGTTAAGTTAAAATAATTACATAATCTTAATAAAATTTCTGTTAAATCTGCTAAACAAATTATGATGAAAGTATGGTGATCCTATTAACAGGATTATCCACTTTTAATATGATTAAATATACATGAATTATCAGACTTCACTTTAGCACCCAACTGCTTCTGTACTGATATCTGGTGTTTCATTGACACTAAATCATAAGACAATAGTTAAAACATATCTAACAATTAGAAACAACCTAGGAAGTGCAACAGCTTGTATATCATTTTCTCTAAGGATCTTAGTCGATGTTTCCAAACCATGGCAACTTATAGATACATGGTCTTCAATTCCTAGAATTCCCTATTCAGTTTGATCATTGCTAAGAATTCTGGGAGTTGTAGCACTTAGAAAATTCACGGGAGATGAAGTCAGACATATCAGAAGACACCAGAAGAAGGTCCAGATAGTATGACTTAGGCAGGTTCACTTGGCTCTTTGTGGAGGATGGGCTTTATTAGGTGAAGATGATCCTTATGGACTTTTTTCCAGATCTTTGTGATTTTGTCTGATAAAAATCTTGTGAAATATTCTTCTCCATATAGGAAACAGTTTAGTTTGCATAATTTAATTAATCTAATAACTGTTCATTATGGTGGTTCAATGGTTAGAATGCAGTATTGCAGGCAAACTCTGCCCACACCCTGGAGTTCGATCCTGAGCGGCTCAAGGTTGACTCAGTCTTCCATCCTTCCGAGGTCGGTAAAATGAGGATTCAGATGGGGGCAATATGCTGACTTGTAAACTGCCCAGAGAATGCTGAAAAGCACTATGGAGCGGTATATAAATCTAAGTAATATTGCTATTGTTATTCCTATTTTTATTGAACAAATTTATTCAGCTGCCCAGAAGGAACTCAGACAGGTAAATAGGAATATAAATGTAATAAAATTAGTTTTTAAAAAAGAACATTTCGGAATGTTCATTATTAATATGATATGTTAGTTGGATTGAGATTTCAAGATTATTTGATAGTAATAGCTATTTATATTTTAATATCAGGTAACAGTAAATGGTGGAATATCATGTATTTTAGACTATTTTTTATTTAACCAGATTGGAGATGTAAATTTTATCCTAGGGATCCATAAAATTATCTAATCCATAAAATCACAGAGCATGGAAAGGCTTGTAGGTTCAACCTGCTGTGTAGTGCAGGAACAATAAAATATATTATTAGCATGCTTTACTTTACTACATGCAAAAAAATATTCTAAAGCCTATTTTAAAGTACGTACATCTGCTTAAATTCAAGACCTATTTATTGGAAGTGTGGATAAGAGCAGCATGTTAGCAGATGCTCATCAAACCCTGTGATAAAATATGGAATAGCACCTGTACGCAGAATATTTATATTTCCTGTTCCTTACCTCCGAAGGTAATAGCGTGACTGGTATCCTTTCATCCTCATGCATTCGTCTGGAGGCCTTCTCCCAATACAGGTAATCAACAAGAGATCTGTGATCAAAGTTTCCTGTCGGAGGTTTCTCCGTCTGATCCTTCTGTATCATTCCAACAGGCACTTTGGGGTCTGGAGCCATGACTTCCATTTCACACTGTAGTTCTCTCAGTTCCTCAGGAGATAAGTTTGCTAAGATTTCATCCTCATCTATCTCTCCCGAACAGAAGTCCTCTTGGTCAGAGTTTTGGCTGAGCTCAGACATGTTCTTTATTGATTAAAAAAATAACCACGGGGCAGATACTTGGAGGGAAAAAACAAACAAATGTCCGAAGTAGAAAAAAGGATGGTAATTCTTTCTTTGAAAAATCTTCAGTGTTCCTTGGTGTTTGTGGGGTGTATATTTTTCCCCCCCTCCGTCAGAGAGAATAACACAGCTCTGTCTTAGATGATGCTTCAGGAAGAGTGAGGGAGGATTGAAACATATGGTACATCTAAATTAAGCATGGCTTAGGCAGAGCAAGAAAATTTATGGAGGTGCTGCCATATTCTGTTTTGAGTAGCTTATGTCAGCTGTGTAAGCCCTTTTGACATTTTGGTACAGCTGCTTGGGGCATTGCCACAATCATATTCTAGAGGATTCCTGCAGTTATACCATTTTCAATGGCTCATGATATATACTAAAGTTTTAGAATATGAGAAAATGAAGGGTTGTGCATGAATTGTATTTAAATCTGTTGGGAACTCTTAAGATTTGTCTGGGTGACCTTATGAACTAATAGTTTTCACCCTTGATCCAGAGCTTTACAACTGTTTCAAAACGATTGATTTATGAAGATCAGATTAAATGACATTAGCAAATATCTTGTTGTTATTGACACCAGAACTAAGGGATGTCCTTGGAAATATGCAGTCACTAACAACTCAAATGGCCAAGGCAGCAGCAGCCACAGCACTGTTAATTGCAAAAGAAAATGAAAATAGTATTAGAATGTTATAGTGTACATTGTTTGATGTTTTTGAAGAATTGCTTGGATCCCATAACAAATTATAAAGGTATTAGATCTGGTATGAAAGGATCTGTACAATCATTAGTTGGCAGCAAAGAAATACAGACAATTCTTTCTGCTGTCATCTGGTGGTGACCTGGATTGCCATATCCAGTGACTTTACAAATGATCTATGTAGAGAAACCAATGGGCAACTATTTACTGTATTTTGTTCAAAAACCTGAACATTGTTAATTATTTAATTGGAATTGGATTGAATTCCAATCAAATAAATAAGGATTGAAAGGAACATGGTGGCTCAATGGTAAGACGCTGTCGATCGAAAGGTTGGCAGTTCAGCGGTTCAAATCCCTAGTTTCGCGTGTAATGGGGTGAGCTCCCGTTACTTGTCCCAGCTTCTGCAGTTCGAAAGCACATAAAAAATGCAAGTAGAAAAATAGGGACCACCTTTGATGGGAAGGTAACAGCATTCTGTGCGCCTTTGGCATTTAGTCATGCCAGTCACATGACCACGGAGACGTCTTCGGACAGCGCTGGCTCTTCGGCTTAGAAACAGAGATGAGTAGCGTCCCCTAGAATTGGGAACAACTAGCACATATGAACAAAGGGAAACTTTACCTTTACCTTTAAGGATTGAAAATTTACTTATGCATTAAAATGCCAGTATTGCATAACAGGGATTAAAATCCAGGAGCATAAAAACAAATAGAGTTGTAAATTGAAATATTTTCTCCATGAAAATTCTGATTTGTTCAACCCCCACTCCACCCCCAAATATGACATTACTTATATGAATGCACATGTACTTATTAAAAAATGCACATGCACTGTTGGAAGGCTGCTTTTAAAGAACAGATGGACCTTCCAGTACAAGTCATGGAGATGTGTGTTATATTTGTCACTTGTACTGTATAGTAGAAACAAGAACTTGTGAATCTCTGTGTCATCATTGCTCTGGTGACTCAGTCACAGCTTATTTCATCTCATAACTTATTTTTTCTGGGAGGCCTTTGACTTCATCCCTTTGTGTTCCTCCCAAGTGAATTACACATCATATAAATGTATTTGATGTACTGTATTAACCCATCTCTACTTCACCCTTAGCGTGTAGAAATTAAGAACTGAAGATGAAATCTCATTTCCTCTTTCACTTTTGATTCTACACACAATCTGAGGAAGAGTCATTCACCACTTGGTGGTGGGAAACAGGGGTGGGTTCTATTTACCTTTACTACCAGTTCGCAACGGGATCACGTGCATGCGGTCGCAAGCTTCTGCGCATGCGCAGATCGCTTCTGATGACATCAGGGTCAGCGGCAGAGCCTCCCGCCAGTTTTACTACCGGTTCTATAGAAGGAGGTAGATATCAACTCTCAATTCTCAACAACCCCAGGCTGCATAATAGTAATAATAAAGAATATTAGGACTTCCACAGGGCAAAATGTGGAGGGCAACAGGCTTCCTTGCTGTCAACCTTGTGAGGTAATCCAGAGAAGGATAAAATGAACATCCAGATGAACTGAACCTACTTTATTGCAAGGTTACTTTAAGAGAATCTTCCAAGACTCTGTATTTCTCCCTTACCCTCCTTAGAAGGGATTTCCCCCCATCTAGTTTTCAAGTTATCTCTATGGAGGTCTTTAAGAAGAGATTGGACAACGATTTGCCTGAAATGGTATAGGGTTTCCTGCCTGAGCAGAGGGTTGGACTAGAAGACCTCCAAGGTTCCTTCCAACTCTCTGTTATTCTGTATTTCTTCTGAAATGCTTCTCATGCTTTCCCCTCATCTGCAGACTAAGTCAGACCATTACCAGACCATTGCCCTGGGCGTAGGGCTCCCTCCTGTCATTCCTACATACCATCCCACCTGCCAAGATGATCGATAAGTAAAACCTTCAGGAACCCCCAGAAGCTATTGATGGAGCCAACTCCACTGTAATCTCTACCACATTAGCAAAATGCAATGGTTATTCAGTAAAAATCAAACCACAGTAATTGTTAATAAACTCAGTGAGCAACTTGGTTCCCATCCTAACTTATCTGCACGTCTAACAGGCATTGACAGAGTTCCTACCGGTAGATGTGTTACATCTGATCTCATGGCCACATACCAGTTGAACATATTTCTCTCCACAACAAATAAGAACTACCTTAGCAACCAACCTTGGACTTGCTTGGTCTCTTGATTCTCCCAGAAAGAAAACTGAGCCATTTGTTTGGTACTTGGTATCTATTTCACTGAAACAGTTCTTGATTCAACTGAAAGATTAAGTTGAAAGAAAGCAAATATGCAATTTATATCGATTGCACAGTACCCACAGTTATACATTATGCTCACATATTTTATTTTCTTCAACGGAAAAAAAATAGTCTAGGGATGAGAACTTGCAGAACCAGATTTTGATACGTAAGAGGGACAATCTTCAGCATAGGTACAGTGCTCGGTTATGTAGCAACTATTATTTTTCTATTAAAATCGTACTGTGCAGAGCAGTTGTTTTTTCAGCCCTGAATGCAAACACACACACACACATAAATACACATGAATATGATTAGGGTTCAGTTATATGAATGTCCATATGAGATAAGGGGAGGGTTCTAAAAAATTTTACTACCGGTTTCATGGGTTTGGCTTATTTTGTGGGCGTGGTTTGATGGTCATGTGACAATTCTTTAGGATTTAGCAGAGATACTGGTCTACCAGGCTTTTAACTGCTTGCAGAGCTGTACTGGTCTACTCATTTGTTTTTGGAGGCATCGGTCTACCCATTTGTTTTTCCAGCGCACTGGTCTACCACTACACTACCTTTTAACACTGATCAGCTGTAGGGCGGCCCTTTGAAGCCCCGCGGCAAGAGTTTAAACAGTTTTTTTCCTTCTAGCCGATCAGCTGGGACTCATGGCAGCGAATAGATTGGGGACGGGGCCAAATAAAAGGTTAGAATAACGCGGGGGGAAGGCAGGGGGAGGGTGGGAAGGTGGGAAGGCTCCCGAACAAAGAAAACCGGTTCGGTGATGTCATATCGTCACCGCTACCTCCGAACCGAGCTGAACCGGGAGGAACCCACCACTGTATGAGATGTAATTTGATTGTTTTATAATGCTTTCCAAACAGAAATGAAGAACTGAACATACCAGACCATCTTCAATTACCCTGGAATTGTTTAAAGACCAACAGAGTATATTGTGATGGGGAGAGAATGTAGGTAGTCCTTGACTTACAACAGCTCATTTAGTGACCGTTCAAAGTTACAACAACATTGAAAAAAGCGACTTCTGATCATTTTTCAGACTTGTGACCATTGCAGTATCCCTATCGTCACGTGATCAAAATTTGGATGCTTGGAAACTGGTTCGTACTTATGACTGTTGCAGTGTCCCAAAGTCATGTGATCCCTTTTTGTAACCTTCTGACAAGCAAAGTCAATGGGGAAGCCAGATTCACTTAACAACCGTGTGACTACCATAACTGCAGTGATTCACTTAATAACTGGCAAGAAATGTCATAAAATGGAGGCAAAAGTCATTTGACAACTGTCTGGCTTAGAAGCAGAAAGTTTTGGGCTCAATTTGTCTGAAATGGTATAGGGCAGTAATGGTTAACCTTTTTGGTGCCGAGTGCCCAAAGCGCGCATGTGTGCGTACGAATGCACACTCGCGTGCCAGAGCCTCTAAAATGCAATGCAAGCGACCCCCAAGCATGTGCCCCACCTTCCCGTGCCCCGTTTTGGCTTCCAGGTTGGTGCTGGAGGCTTTCTGGGCCCAAAACGGGGTGCAGGGAGTCTCGTGCCCCAATTGGGCCTGGAAAACTTCCCACACCAAGCTGGAAGCCAAAACGGGGCACATAGGTGCCGCGCGAGGTTCCCCTGTGCCCCGATATGGGCCTGGAAAGCCTCCTGCACCAACTTGCATCCCCCCACGCATGTCCCCCCCATGCACCCCACCCAGTGATGGGATTCAGCCAGTTCGCACCACTTCAGGAGAACCAGTTGTTAACTTTCTGAACAGTTTGGCAAACTGGTTGTTGGAAGAAATCATTGGGGCAGAGAACCGGTTGTTAAATTACTTGAATCCCACCACTGACCCAACCCCCCACGCATGCACAGCAGAGACCCAAAGACCAGCTGGCCAGTGGGAGGCGCACACGCATGCGCGGTGCAGCTGGGCTGGGGCAACAGCTGGTGTGCCCACAGAGAGGGCTCTGCATGCCACCTGTGGCACACGTCCCATAGGTTCGCCATCACGGGTATAGGGCTTCCTGCTTGAGGAGGGGGTTGGACTAGAAGACCTCCAAGGTTCCTTCCAACTCAGCTATTCTATTCTATTCTATTCTATTCTATTCTATTCTATTCTATTCTATTCTATTCTATTCTATTCTATTCTATTCTATTCTATTCTATTCTATTCTATTCTAGTTATAAGTTGTGGACTACCTCTAATGAAAACTTGCCTCGGATGTCAAAGTGAGCTTAGTTACTCTTTAAACAGGGATCTTTCCTGCCAGTTCTGGGAAAGCTAACAGGGGCATATAGGAATCTTTTTTTTTTTTAATTTGATTTATATGCCGCCCTTCTCCAGAGACTCAGGGCGGCTTACAATGCGTTAAGCAATAGCCTTCATACTTTTGTATATTTTATACAAAGTCAGCTTATTGCCCCCACAAACTGGGTCCTCATTTCACCTACCTTTGAAAGGATGGAAGGCTGAGTCAACCTTGAGCCTGGTGAGATTT